GTTGTACATACCTGAAATCATCAAATAAAAAATCCTTTTAGCCAGAGTTCTCCTTGCAATTTTCTCTATCCTTTTCTTTGTGTTCATCTAGATCGAGTGTGTGCGTTGTTGTGCGATCCTGACAAACATGTGTTTTCTTATGATGTTTTTTGGATTTTGTACTATGGTGTTGTATGACTTTATATCACCCTTTTTTTCTTTTTTTTTTTTTTGGGATGTTGTATGACTTTATATCACAAAAGAAAAAGAGTGATCGAGCATTCGTTTATTTAAAAGGTACATTCAATGAAAGAAGGAAAGAAACAAGGTGGGAACCACAATTTGGTAGTAAATCGGAGTTGAGCGTAAAAAAATATATATGTATTGATGACTCTGTGGCCCAATGGATAAGACGCTGGTCTACAAAACTCAGGACTCTGGGTTCGATCCCCAGTGGAGTCGATAGAGTTAGTAATAGTGTATGCTCATACATTAAGAGCTATGAGCTACCAAACCTAAAAAATTGATCCTCTTCTAGCATATTGTAGGCTCATAAGTCCAACACTGCTTATGCATGAGATTCCTAAAAAACTAGGAAACGGGATAAGGATACATGAGTTTTTTAAATTCACTAGAAGCTCTGGGGCGATACCATACTTAAATATTCTTTTGGCATACATACTTTTGGTATGCTACCAATGGAGATAGTGTTCCTTACTCATGAATTCATGATCTTCCTCTTAACTAGCCAATATTGGACCAATCTTAATAATTCTCAACATTTCTCCCCTTGAACAAAGTACACCATAAACTCACACTTGAGGCCACCTTCTTTATATCTCTCGGACAGCCTCATGTTAATCGAGGTTAAACTCCTTCTCTTGCGTCTTCGAACAAAGTACACTACTTTTTCGACACTTGAATCACATTTGATTACACCTTCGAAGCTCACAACTTCTTTGTTTTGATACTTAAGATTTTATTGGCATGTTAAGTTAAGAGCATGACTCTGATACCATGTTAGAAACCACAAACCTCAACAATAGTATGATATTGTCCACCTTGAGCATAAGCTCGCACGACTTTGCTTTTGGCTTCCGTAAAAGGCCTCAAGAGCATGAGGATTCATTTTGAACTACGAAGACATTCTGACTGAGGTTGTGAATACAACAGACTATTCGATCAATAGAGGGTCATCAGTACCTTTGGAGTTCAAGTTACCAAAAGATGTATGGACAAAAAAAGAACTCAAGTACTCTCACTTGAGAAGTCTTGGTTGCATTGCATATGTTCACTTTGATTTATTCTGACATGTTTAGGTACACATTTTCATATGACAAGACTAGAAAAATCTTGAGATGTTGTAATGTAACTTTTGATGAAAGTATCTAACAATATCTTGTACAAGGACAAAGAAAAAAATGTTACGAGACTACAAAGCAAGTTTGATTTGAGCTTAAGTTGCAGAAAAAATCACCCAGTGATGTTATAATAGAAATTATATAAACTCCTGAAACTGTTGCTGAAGAACTAGAGGTGGAGTAAATGACACCTGAGTAGGTGCTGAGGAGATTATCTAGAACTATCAGAGAACCAAATAGATATTCATTGCACTATATATTGTTGACTGATCAACGAGAACTAGAGTCCTTTTATGAGACCCTATAAATAAAGAATTCAACTAGGTGAGAGCGAGTGATGGATGATGAGATAAGCTCAGTTGAAAGGAATAATACGTGGGTATTAAAAATCAAGGCCTAACTAGATGGCAAAAGGAAGTTTAAGCTTCGATTAGTAATTAAAGAATACTCACAAAAGAAAAACATTGATTATAATGAAATCTTTTTTCCTATTTTAAAGTTAATTATTTATCCAAATTTGGTTGAGTATTGTTGCATCGAAGAATTTACACATTGAGCAAATGAATGTAAAAATAAAAAAACCTAGAGATTATGGGTATTGATGACTCCGTGGCCCAATAGATAAGAAGTTGGTCTATAAAAAACTAGAGATTATGGGTCCGATCCCTAGCAAAGTCGGTATGTGACTCAAATAAGGCTTCACACATTAAGAACTACCAAATAGGTTCATAAAACATGTTTCTACTTATTTTCCTACATTTAATTAGGATTGTAATTTTCAAAAATTATATAAAAATGAACATAAATATTGGATGACTTTGTGGCCCAATGGATAAGGTGCTGGTGTATGCAACAAGTGATTTTGGGTTCAACTGCCAACAAAGTCGGTAGATGAATCAAACTAGGAATTTCAAGGAGGCGTCACCCTCGAAAATATTAATATTTTTATTATTTAAAATTCTTCCCTTCTAGACTAAATTTTAAAGTTCAATTCAATTGATTCGTAGAAAACACTTGAGTAACGATCTCTTACTGTACTTATTATTTATACGTTTATAATTATATTATTTTCTTTCAAATATTAATTTATTTAAAACGTTCAAGGTTCTATAGCTTAATTGGTTAGATCGTTGATCTTACGAGTCGAAGGTGGCAGGTTTAAACCCTACTATAACCAACTAATTTGTTAATATATGCTTTTCAATTTATAATATTTCCCCCATTTCTCAACTCAACTCATTTTCAACTCATTGAAACTTACTAAGGTTTGAACTTGAGCATAGAAAACTATCTCTTCATCCTCCTATCTAGCAAAAATACACTCGAAGGAAGGGGGTTTTCATCTCACCGACATTTATGTCTAACAGGGTAAATCATTCCTATTTCGTCGTTTTCTTTCTATATTTCACCTTTCCTTTTCTTGTAGGTGAGCTTATGATGAGGAGTCGTGTGGGGGGTACGTTTGGGGATTATTCGTGGTTCATTGGGTGTTTTAAAACAAGAGGTGGGGTTCTTGTCTCTTCAGTCACAGCTAAAGATGACTACTCTTAAAACAAGAGGTGAGCTTCTTGTCTCTTTCAGTCACAGCTAAAGATGACTACTCTTAAAACAAGAGGTGAGGTTCTTGTCTCTTTCGGTCACAGCTAAAGATGACTACTCTTAAAACAAGAGGTGAGCTTCTTGTCTCTTTCAGTCACAGCTAAAGATGACTACTAAAGACAGTTTTGTTCAACCAACAATACCAAAATTTGTTGGTCATCGTTTTCTTTCTATACTTCACATTTTCTTTTCTTGCATGTGAGCTTATGATGAGTAGTCGTGTGGCGGGTACGTTTGGGGATCATTCGTGGTTCGTTGGGTATCTTAAAACAAGAGGTGGGGTTCTTGTCTCTTTCGGCCGCAGCTACAGATGACTACTGAAGACATTTTTGTTCAACAAGCAATATCAAAATTTATTGGTCACTATGATCATTGAAGCAAGTTAATCGAGAACTTTCTTCGCTCTAGAGAATATTGGCAAGTAGTTGAGTCTTGGATTTCTGCTGTAGTAGATGATACTGATTACTTAGATGAACAGAAGGAGGTGGAAGATCAGAATTTGAAAAACTTAAGAGTTAAGAACTACCTTTTCCAAGCCATTGATAGCTCAATTTTGGAGATTATTTTGGATAAAGAAACTTCAAAAGGAATTTGAGATTCAATGAAGAAAAATTTCCAAGGAAATACAAGGTTGAAACGAGCACAACTACAGGCTCTATGCAAGGACTCTGAGACCCTTCATATGAAGGAAGGTAAGACTGTTTTTTATTTCTTTTCTCGTACTCTCACTACTTCTAATAAAATGCGTTTCCATTGTGAAAAGATGAGTGATGTTAGCATTATTGAGAAAATCCTGCACTACATGACTTCGAAATTTGATTACGTGGCTTGCTCTATTGAAGAATCAAACGATTTGGATATCATGACCATTGATGAATTGTAGAGTAGTCTATTGATCCATGAACAACGTATGCAAAGTCATACTGTGGAAGAGCAGGCATTGAAGATCACTCTTGACAGCAGTATAGGGAGACCAGATCGGTACAGGATGAAGACATGGGAGACCAGGTTTTAACAAAACTCTTGTTGAGTGTTTTTATTGTCATGACCTTGGTCATTTTCAGTATGAATGTTCCGAGAAGAATATGGGAAATGAATCACAAGCTCATTTTGCTAAACTTCTGAACCACTACTTCTCATGGCATATGTTGAAGAGATGGTAGAACAAAAGGAGGACTCAATAGGTTGTTTGTCTGAAATTGAAGCTCCTGAAGCTGTAACAACAAAAGAATCAATTTTTATAGCACATCTTGAAAAGGCAACAGACGAAACCATCCGGTTATGTGGCACATCACATCGACAACTTAGTGCAACCTGTACACCACAGCAAAACAGAGTGGTAGAAAGAAAAAAGCGCTTGGATGAGGAGGTTTATGTGACACAACTTCTTAGTTATGTGAAGAGGGAGAAGGGAGAGATTCTAATAAATCAGGTTATGGCGGGGATATCTTGCAATGGAGAGGAGTTTTTGCCGGAGGTTAGTAACGGACGGGTGGTGGATTCCCAGGCTACGTCGACGTCGATTCCGACACTGAATCTGACACCGTTAACGATCTCGAGATCTTTTAGGGAGGGGAAAATCTCATCACAGCGGCGGACGTCGGTTAGGCCAAGTTTGGACGCCGATGACTTCTTGAACTTGTTTCATGGCTTGGATCCAGTGAAGGTGGAGCTCAATCGCCTTAAGAATGAAGTACGAGATAAGGATAGAGAGCACGGGAAAGCTCAGATGAAGATCAAGGCTTTGAAGTTGTCTGGGCGGCTTAGAGAGAAGGCAGTTGAAGAGCTAACTAAATATCTTCTTGAGAGAAGGAATCTTGAAATAAAGAAAATCAATGATGAGAAGAAGGCTTCAATGGCAGCTCAATTTGCCGCTCATGCTACTCAAAAGGATGATGGCATGCCTCCAATCGAAGACATTTTTGCACCTTTGAAGGCTGAGCTCAAGCTTGCACGACACGAGATTGCAATGCTTCAAGATGACAACAAAACACTAGATCGTCTAAGTGCCTTGACCAAGGCCTCTATTGTGGATGATTTACGGAAAATAATTAAGAGTTAATGAAACAGATAGAGATTTGTCATGAAGAAAACAAAATCTTGGACAAGATGCACCGACTGAAAGTTGCTGAGGTTGAGAAATTAACTCAAACTGTGAGGGAACTGGAGAAGGTTGTCCTTGCTGCGTGGTGTGACTGCTCGGATGCTGTGAGAGATTATCCGCGCAAAATTTAGGAGATGAGAAAAAGAAAATTCTGGACAGAGAGTTGCCTCGTGCAAAGGTGTCAGTCAATAGAGTGGTTGTAGTAGAAGCATATGAAAAGATCCAGAAGTTACTCATTGAAAAGCTTTTCCTTCGGCACTGAACAGGTCCCCATTTGAAAATTTCCAATATTGAAGATGAACCAAGGAAAGGACTTGATTCCAACCATGGCTTCTCCTTGTCGGATTGCGAAGAAAACATTGTATCGTCTCCTGCCATTGATCAATTCTGCCACCACAGTTCGCTACCGCTCTGTTGCCACAAGCACAGTCGCAGGCCGCTGTAGAATTGGTTCCAAAGAAGCCATTGCCTGAAAAAGGCAAGCTCTTGGAAGCAGTTGTGAAAGCAGACCCTCTGCTTCAGATTCTGCTTGTCGCCGGACCTCTTCCTGAGTGGAGGCACCCACCCACGCCACTTGAATCCTTCGAGATCCCACCAGTGAGAGTTCCTTCAACGCCACCACGTGCGTGGTACAAGCGTTTTGAAAAGTTTCTTTATAAACATACTCTATTTTTCAAGAAGTCATTACAAGGTACTTTCTTACTTATATGTGTTTATGAAGAGGACCTTATATTTACCGGAAACGATGAGGCTTTGTTGAGTTCTTTAAAGGAATGCACGATGAAGGCATTTGATATGAATGATCTTGACGAATGCGATATTTCCATTATCCATGTTCCACTATTAAGCTGACCAGAAATTCAGTCTTGCACGGTCGAAGCAAACACATTGATGATCGTTTCCACTTCCTCTGTGATTTAAGTAAAGATGAAACTGTGATGTTACAAAATTGTCATACTAAGCAAGTGGCTAATATCATGACAAAACCTTTTATTCGAGTTGTGTTTGAGAAGCTACCCATGTTGCTTGGTGTCTATCAAGATCCTTAAGTTTGATCTAAAGACTTCGCCATTAGTTTAAGGGAGGAAATGTTGAAAAAGATTTAGTTGTGCATTATTAGTTTAAGTGAGGGAATATTGAAAAAGATTTAGTTGCTATTTTTATATTTTAGTTCCTGAATATCATATCATTTATCTTATGGGGTATCATAGATATGATCTCATGCCAGATTCTTTGTTTTGGCATGATATTCTGCTTTGGGTTAAGATTTTATTTTTATTTTTATTTTCAGTTAAACATTATACTGAATTTCTTTCCTTTTGCAAACTTATCTTCATTAAGTTCATCAGTTTTTACTACGGTAGGTGGATGATATACTAACTATAGGATCCAACATGAGAGAGATAAACCACTTGAAGCCAAGTATCTCTTCCGTATTTGAGATGAAAGATTTGAGTGTAACTAAGTTTATTCTTGGGATGAGGATTTCTCGATATAAATCTATCGACAGATTAAATCTACATAACAGAAGTACATTAAGAAGGTGTTGTCAAAATTCAGAATGAATGAAGTCAAACCGAGGAGTACCCCTTTTGCAAACTTTGTTAAATTGTCAAAGACCACTCTCCCAAGACAGTTGAAGAACATGAGTACATGACATCAGTTCCATACGTTTCTGTCGTTAGGATTTGATGTTTGCTATTATCTGCACTAGACTTGATATAACACATGGAGTGGGAGTTGTTAGCAAGTACATGGTAAACCAGAGAAATAACATTGTGAAACTATGAAATTTCTTTCGAGATATTTTAGAGGTACATCTAGTACTTCACTTTGTTAAGACAATGACAAAAGAGTTCTGCAACGTTTTGTGGATATTGATTTTAGTGGAGATAAAGATTCTACTAAGAGCACATCTGGATAAATCCAAACTATAAATAGAACAACAGTAAGTTGGGTGTCCAAGTTTCAAAGTTATGTCACTCTTTCATATACTAAGACTGAGTATGTGGTAATAGCGGTAGTATGAAAGAAGATGATATGGATGACAAACTATCTAAAATAATTAGACAAGAAGTTACATAAAAGGATGACTGAATGAGTCTTCAAATGAGAGAATTATTAGGTCATTGAGTCTGCTACTTATTTATAGTTTACTTTATACATTATCATATATATATATAGATGACTTAGATGGTAGATGGTTATATATGATGGATAACTATACGTAGTAATGTTATATATAGTAAATTAAACTATATAAATATGTTAGTGAATTGAAAATATACCTTCTTTATCTTCTCTCCCTTATAAACCTTTACTTAATATTCATCATTACATTTTGTTTCCGGTTCTTTATATTCATCTAGATAGAGTATGTGAGATGTTGTGCAGTTTTAACAACATCGTCTAACCATTTTTCTTTAAGGACTCCTGCCTTTAAACCCTTGACACGAATTTTCCCTGAAAATTATTTACTGTTTATAGGTATTTATGATTTATCTCCAAGATTAAAGATATTTCTTAAAATTGAAGCAAAGGTTGAACTCTTTATTGTGTGAGATTTTATTTTTACCACTCAATTTCAAGGAGGCGTCACTCAATTGTTAACAACAAAATTTTCGGTGTTGTTGAAGGTTTATTTATAGATGGGATAAGACTTTAGAAGTTGATAGCTACTGAGTTATACTTACCCATTTTTTTTTTTTTTTTGAAGTATTGGTCGAGGTGAGGAGGTGCTAGAGAGTTGTACTGTCATGAAGAAGTGTGGATAAGTTCTTTTTTTTTTTTTTTTTTTGAGTTGTTATTGTCATTAGGTTGGGTCTGGTTCAGTTGCTGTTTGGCAACACCTGTTTTGTTAGGATGTTTTCTTAGAATTTGTGCTATGTTGTTTATGACTTTAAATCCCACAATTTTTATTTACTATGTTTATACTTTTATTTTTATTTTTATTTGCCTTGTTTTTTCACTTCGTCATGGTCTGAAATTTGAAATCTAAAAAATTGGATCGTGACAATACAATGACCGAAGATTATCACAAAAGCAAAAGATTGATAGTTGTTTGAACATTCATTTACTTAAAAACATCCACTGAAAGAATGTAAGAAGCAAGGTAGGAACCACACTCGGGTAGTAAACTCGAGTTGAGTGTAAAAAAATATATATGTATTGATGACTTCGTGGCCCAATAGATAAGGCGTTGGTCTACGGAACCATAGATTATAAGTTTGATCCCTAGAGAAGTCGATAGGTGCCTGAAACTACTAAAAGTATGCTCAAACATTAATACTTTGTCTTTATGGTGGCTATAAGACCAATACACCATAGCGTCGCACCTGAGGCCTCCTTTTCTAGCTCTTGAACAGGACCTGTATCGAGGCTCATTTTCATCTTTGGAGCCTTTAGAAAAAGTACACTCTTTTTTTGGCACATGAATCACCTCTGATTACACCTTGGAGGCTACTCTGATATCATGTTAGAAACCATGAACCTCCATAATGGTATGATATTGGCCATTATGAGCATAAGCTCTCATGACTACAAGCTTGATGTAAACTATTGTTCTGACATGTTTAGGTACATCTTTTTAGATGACAAGACTAGATAAATCTTGAGATATTGTAATATAACTTTTGATGAAAATATCTGTACAAGGACAAAAAAAAAAAAAAAAAAAACAATGTTACAAGACTAACGCAAGTTTGATTTGAGATTAAGTTGCAAAAAAAATCACCTAGTGATGTTGTAGTAGAAACTATAGAAACTCCTGAAACTTTCGTTGAAGAACTAGAGGTGGAGCAAATAACACTTTAGTAGGTGCTGAGGACATTATCTAGATCTACCAGAGAACCAGATAGATATTCATCTTCACTACACTATCTGTTGTTTACTAATCAACATGTACTAAGTCTTTTCATGAGACCCTACATGTGCAAAATTTAACAAGGTAGGAGTAAGCCATGGATGAAGAGATAAGTTCACATGAAAAGAATAATATGTGAGTATTGACTGAGTTACATACATAAAAGTGCTCAAGTGGATGTTAAAAATCAAGGCCTAACTAGATAGCAAAATGAGGTTTAAGGTTTGATCGGACATTCACAAAAGAAAAACATTGATCATATCGAAATCTTTTCTCCTATTTTTAAGTTAATTATTATCCAAATTTTGTTGAGTATTGTTGCAAATTTACACATTGAGCCAATGGAGTTTAAAATAACATTTTTACTTAGAAGTATCTATAAGGAGATTTATTATATGTAGCAACTGGAAGGGTTTGTAGTTCCAAGCAAGAAACATATGGTGTGTAAGCTCAATAAGAGCCTAAAGGGATTGAAACAAGCACCGAGATAGTGGTATAACAAGTTTGATTCCTTCAAGTGCAAAAGTTGTTTCCACGGGAGTAAAAGGAATCCAATATTTATGTTCGTCATGATATCATGCAGGGCTTTTCTTTTATGTGGCGTCCAGTGACATGTAATGCATTGTGTCCGACAAAGTTAGGCCCAAAGAGTACGTAGACGAGCCTTCTTGGTGAGCCCATGTGCACATACGTGGGCCGTGTGTGGAGAAGTACCATACATCCAACCCTGCTCGAATATGAAAATAGCCTAAGAATATGTAATGTTTATAAAAAATAGGTCTCACTCATGTTTTACATGTGATTGCATATCTAACCCCAATAGTGGAGTGATATACTAAATATTTCATAAAATATTGAATTTTTAGGTAATAAAGCCCCTATAAACGAATGATAGTAAAGCCCCTATAAATGAATGATGGTGAACGCTAGGCCATGAAATTAGAATAGTCATTATAGGCACAATATGGCAATGAAATGTTTTGAGTTTTAAATTACTAGATGATAGGTTGCATTGAATTTCTATTTATAGTTATGTATTTTTCTCAAATTTTATTTATGTTTAAAACTTCGTTGAATTTTATGATCCAAACTATTTATATTAGTCTATGACTTTATTTATGAATTTAGCATTAAATTCTTAAGCATACATAGTTGATGTCACTAATTAGGTTAAGAAAATTAAGGGCGTGAAGTTGTTATTTCAAATATTACATTTTTCTCTTTTGCTCATAAGACTTGTTATTTTATTCCAATCTTGATCTTGGTTACAAAATATCGCTAACAATTCCTTACATATGTAAATATAGTAACTTAAATATCAAAGTTGGAGGTACGACGTGCCAACGAACTAAGCATAACACTTTTAGGAAGATGGGATAGGACCCGTACATCAAGATTGTTTTAGCAAAGTCTCCAAGTAAGAGACCTTCCTATTAAAATTATGCCGTTTTGTTTTTCTAGAATACAATTGGATGTGTATACTATTCTATGAACGTTTGTTGTTTCTTGTTTGTTGTCATAGATATTAGACTAGAAAAATATATGTTTTGGGGTTGGATGTGTGCATCTTTTGATTATTTAATGCAGTAAATGTGGTAGGGGTTATACGCTACGCGTATCGGATAACCAACCATTAACAATCACATGTGGTGATTGCTAAAAATTGTTTTTGTGGTAAAGGTTACATGTTGTGTGTATCAGATAGCAAGTCACTAACGATTTTACTGAAAGGAGTATCCCGATAATGATTTTATTGAAATGTCTTTTAGCATATTTTCATGTCTTTTAAATTATATAAACTTTTAGGTGTTAAGTGACGTCTCCAAACACTACGTATGCTGAAAGTTGGGTCAGTACACTTTATATTCAACAAATTCTCTCACTTTTCCTAGAAAAAATAAGATGTAAGCTCTCATGACTAGGAGCCTACTAACGTTGCAAAGTTAGGGGCATGACTCTAGTACCACTTGTTCTAGACATTGATGCTCCATATATTCTCATAATGGTATAATATCAGTAAAATTGAACATAAACTCTTATGATTTAATTTTAATTATTTTCGTGAAGTGCCTCTTAA